TGAGCCTTGAAGGGGGTGGTAGGTGTGGGTGCTCTTCCTCCCGTTGTGGCAAGGCACTGAACTTTCAGGTCTCTGCATCGTGTGTTTTCCATGGACCGTTGGCCAGTTTCGGTGGGATTCCATCTACTATAAAAACACAAACAGCAAGAAGCAAAAACATCTAAACAGTGACTGCTGTAATAACTTAACCTATGGGTGTAAACATAAATGCTTGGTCAGTACTTTAGCAGGTGCATCATTTCCATCTAACAAAGCAATTGCAGTGACTTCTGAATGGGGCCTATATTCTCCCCTTCCACATGGGGTTGGCCAGGTCTACAGTACCAGATATGTGCTCCACCCCTAGGAGTGGGCATTATATCCAACCAAAAATTTTCTGGTTGTACATTCACTACATGCTCCACTATTGCACCAGCAGGAACATCTTGTTTGGTATGTTGGTAGTGCAACACGTGGGGTCTGTTGCTGAGGAGACTTATAGGGGACTATTCTCCCCCAGTCATCCACACATGTGCCTTTGGCACAATGAAAGCCACCCATCCAGTGGCAGGAACTTTCCAGCTTTGTTCAAGCTTGATTTCTCCCTCTTCTGCCTCTAGGACTTTTAACATGAATGTATGTTGGATTTTGTCAAAGGCCCTTTCTGCATCTATTCAGATGACCATGTGATTTTTGTCCTTAAGTCAATTTATATGATTTATTACATTTATTGACTTACGTATACTGAACCATCTCTGGAATAAAGCTGACTTGAACATGGTGGATGATCTTTTTGATGTATGTCTATATGGGATTTGTGAATATTTTGTTGAGAATTTTTGCATCTATGTTCACTAAGGATATGGGCCTATAGTTTTCTTTTTGTTGTTGTTGTATCTTTACCTGGTTTTGGTATTAGAGGGACCCTGGCTTCATAGAAGGAGTTTAGGCATTCTCCCTCTGTTTCTATATTTTTGAATAATTTAATAAAGTATTAGTTGTAGATCTTTGAATGTCTGGTAGAATTCTGCTGTGAATCCATCTGGGTCTAGGCTTTTTTTTAGTTGGGAAGTTTTGTATTGCTGTTTCAATTCCTTATTTGTTATGGGTCTGTTTAGGCTGTTGATCTCTTCTTCGTTTATCTTTGGTAGTTTCCATGAATTTAGAAATTCATCCATTTCTTTTAGATTTTCAAATTTAATAGAGTATAAGGTTTTTTTGTTTTTGTTAGTTATTTTTGAAACAGGGTCTCCTGTAGCCCCAGCTGGCCTGGAACTCACTATGTAGACCAAGTTGGCCTTGAACTCACATGCCCAGCTAAAGTATTCTTTGTAATGTTCTGGTGTGTGTGTGTGTGTGTGTGTGTGTGTGTGTGTGTGTGTGTGTCTATTGGTATGTTTCTCCTTTAATCTCTGATTTTGTTAATTTGAATTTGTTCTTTCTTTTGGTTAATTGTGTTAAGGGTCTTATTTTGTTGTTTTATTTTTCAAAGAACTAGCTCTTAGTTATTTATTCTTTGTATTCTTTGTTTCTATTTCACTTATTTCTGCTCTGGGTTTTGTTATTTTATTTCATCTACTAGGTTTGGGCTAGTTAGTTAAGTCATTTATTTGTGCTCTGAATTTTTTAATGTGGTAACTTAGAGCTATAAACTTGTCTCTTAGGACTGCTTTTAAATTGTCCCAGAGGTTTTGTTGTGTTGTATATATTATCATTTTCATTTAGTTCCCGGAATACTTTTGTTTATTTTATTCTTTGATTATCACCATTCAGGAGTGTGTTGTTTAATCCCCACAGTTCAAAGTTACTAGACCTTCTTTTGCTGTTGATTTTTAAGCTTTATCACATTGTGGTTTGATAGAATGCATAGAATTATTTTAATTTTTTGGTTGTTAAGGTTTGTTTTGTGTCCCAGAATGTGGTCAATTTTAGAGAAACTTTTCTGGGCTGCTAGGTAGAAAGTGTATTCTTTAGTGCTTGGGTAGAATATTTGGTAGATGTCTGTTCTATTTAATGTAAGATGGCATTTAATTCAGATGTATCTGTTTATTCTTTGTTCAGCTGATCTGTCTATTGGAGATAATGGGGTATTGAAGTCACCTACTAAGTTGGGGTTATTCTGTGTTTTATTGTCCTGTAATACTGTTTTTATGAAATTGGGTTCACCAGAGTTTGGTGCATATATGCTCATGATTGTAATCTTTTTGGTCAATTGTTCCTTTGATTAGAATGAAGTGATCCTCTTTATCTCTTCAGATTAGTTTCTCTATCTCTTTCTCTATCTCTCTCTCAGTTTTAACTTGATGCCTATTTTGTCAGATATTAGAATTGCAACACATGCTTGCTTCTTGGTGTCATTTGCTTGGAATATTTTTTTCATCCTTTTACCCTAAGGTAGTTACTATCCTTGAAGATGAGATGAGTTTCTTGAAGACAACAAAAAGATGGGTTTTCTTTCTTGATCCATTCTACTAGCCTGTGCCTTTTGACTGGGGAGTTGAGGCCATTGTTATTTAGAATTATTATGGAAAGATGTGTGTTGGCTACTGTCATTTTGGGTTTTCAAAAAATATTTTATTAAAGTACACCCATGTTGTGCAATGCCCGCAGAGGACAGAAGAGGCTATCAGATCCCCTGGAACTGGAGTTATGGACAGTTGTTAGCTGCCATGTGGGTGCTGGGATTCAAACCCAGGTCTTCTGCAAGAACAGCCAGTGTTCTTAACCGCTGAGTCATCTCTCCAGCCCTGGTTACTGTCATTTTGATATTTGTGTTCTTGGTCCTATTTTGTGTTTCTGTAGTTGTACCTTACTTTGCTTTCTTTCTGTAACCTCTTGGGTATAGTCATTCCTATCTTCAGTCCTTTGCATTGCTTTGAGTATTCTCTATAGGGCTGGTTTGGTGGGCATGTGTTCTTTCAGCCTATTTGTGTCATGGAAAATTTTCCATTTAACTATGATAGATAGTTTTGTTGGGTAAAGTATTCTGGGTTGGCACCCATGTTCTTCAACTTTGTCCTCCAGTCCTGATACTCTGTTTTCCATTTCATTTATTCTGCTTGTGAGGCTTTCTCCTGTCGTTTCAAATTGACTTACTGAGTTTTTCAATTCCATCTTCATTTCGGTTTGGGTTTTCTTAAATATTTCTCTTTTGCGAATTCACTTTTCAAGTCCTAATTGTTTGGTTATTTCATTCAGCTGCATATTTGCATTTTCTTGAGCTTCTGTCACAAGTTTATGCCTATCCTCTTTGAGTTGTCTTTTTCTTTCTTTGACCATGCTTATGATTGTTATTTTAAATTCTGTGTTGTGAGGTTACTCAGGATGATTCTCATTGTAGACACTTCTTTTAGACTGATGGGTTTTGTTGGGGACATACTCTCTTGGTTTTTCATATTTGTGTTTTCATGTTGCTGTTTGGGCATATGGATGTCTCATTGGTTGTGCGTCTGATAGGAAGTCCTTTGTTTAGTTGAAGTTCGGTTCTGTTTATATTGTTGATGTAGCTTGGTTGCTTTTTGCTCCAGTATGAATAGTTGGTGTGTGCTTCAGGTTCTCACAGGGTAGTAGGTTGGTCTGGGTGGCAGGCAGGTCTGTGGTAGGGAGATCAGGAGGGGGACCAAGAGCAAGACAGGGGTGGGGACAGCCTGTGGAGAGTTGAGCTAGTCTGAGTACAGGATCAGGACGCAGTGGGCAGGTCTGGACTAAGGATAGTCCAGAAATCTGGGGCAGAAAGAACAGGACCTGGGCCCAAGGCTAAGAGGACTAAGTGCAGGAGAGTGGAGCTGCTCAGGTTGCAGGGGAATCAAGACTCAGTGGGCAGGATCTGACTTATCAGAGAGTAGGCATGTCTGCGGCAGGCAGATCAGGAGGCCAGAAGCAAGGTGGGGACAGCCTGTTGAGGGTCTAACAAACTACACTAGAAGATTAAGCTAGTCTGGGTTAGGAAGCTAGTCCAGAGATTTGAGGCAAAAGAGCAGGAGAGGGCCTGGGCCCAAGGCTAGAAGATGTATGGAGTGCAGGGAGCGTGGAGTTGCTCAGGCTGCAGAGGAACCCTAAATGCTATAAATGGAATATTATATAGTAATGAGCAATTTTAACTCCAGCGGATAGGAAGAAATGAAGAGATACTATCCCTTTTATTCTTTCCATGTCTTTGAGGCTTGGTTTCCTCACCTGGTGGAGAAAGACCAACCTTATGTTGCAACTCATGCAATCTAACTGTGGTGTTATTTCAGCATTTCTGTGTGTATGTGTAGTGGTGGAATTGAACCAAGGGCTTTGCACACTGTGCTAGATAGTTTTCGTTGTCAATTTGACACACTTGGTTAGAGGAAACCTCAGTTGAGGAATTTCCTCCATTAGACTGGACTGTGGCCATGTCTGTGGGGGCATTTTCTTGATTGCTGAGTGATGTGCGAGGGACAAGCCCACTGTGGACATTGCCACCTCTAGGCAGGAGGTCCTTCATTACATAAGAAAGCAGGCTGAGCACAAGCCAGATGAGCAAACCAGTAAGCAATGTACCTCCATGGCTTGTGCTCCAGGTTCCTGCCTTTGTTTCTCTTGTTGATGGTCTGTGCTGTAAGCGAAATAAACCTTTTCCTCCTCAAGTTGGTTTTGGTCAGTGTTTCTATCACAGCAATAGAGGGTAATTAAAACATGCACAGTAGGCAAGTGCTTTGCCACTAAGACACAGCTATGGTGTTATTTGACGATAAAACTGAAGTTCACACTGTAAATAGTTCAGGCTAGTAATTTGCTACATGTGTAATTGAGTATCATTATTTTTTATTTTAAGAGACTGTCTCCCTGTGTTGCCTAGGCAATCTCCAACTCCTGAGCTCAAGTGACCCTCCTGCTTCAGTCTCCAATAGCTGGGACACTGAGCATCATGGTGCTCTACCATTAGTTTTGAACTATCTCTTTCTAATGTACATGAACAGAAATAGGACATAACCTACATGTGGAATCCACAGATTTACAAGAGGAACAAGAACAGACAGACTTGAGAAGAGAAATTTTCAGCAAACTGTACCAGTTTATTTACAATTGTAATTTATAAACAGTAACACAAACATCTTTACATTAATATGAAAAATGTCCCATAGCTGAGATGGGTGAAAAATGAGACTTCTGGACATTTTAAAGGGAGTGTCAAGGAAATGGAAAAAATGCAACACAACAGTTTGGGGAGAGTTATAAATATCAAGTATTGCAACACAGGGTGCAATTTCATGCAAATGTCTTCAACCACTCAAATAAATTGTTTTTATTTAGACATCAGAATAAAGTTTTTTTTAAAATTATGGTTTTTTTTTTTTTAATTCACTTGATTTCCATTAAGCAAATTGAAACAACTGGCTACTATTAGGGTACATCTAGATATTTCTATCAATTCCTTGGAGAAAATCTATTACATTTTAGGATATGGCAGATTGTATTTGTTATTTTTCCAAACAGATTTTATGAAAACCATCCCAAGTTCCCAAAGATGTTCCTTAGATCTCACATCATGTGTGACTAATACAGGCCACAAAAATTAACCTGAGCAAGCTGCAAAATAAAGCAGATCACTTCAGTTTTGTCACAGTAAAAGAATAAAAAGCTTCAAACCACTGGAATTTTAATGAGAAGACAAACCAAAAGAGAATTTTTAGAAAGTGATATAAAAACATTTAATTTATATGGCTCTCTGATTAGCTGGCTTTTGCTCAAGTGGACATTAGTGTGTCACAAATCATCATCTCAGGGAGGGACAAATCAGTGTACTCAACACATTTTGAAATACCCTAAATCAAATAATCCATTTGTAATAAAGACCAATGACATTTTTACAGATACAATTCTGACCTCCAAATGCTAATTTTAATCTTGACATTCCTACTTATGCTTTTAACTGCTCCTTAGCAACCATTAGGATGAAGCAATTGGTATCCAAATAATTACCTAATGGAGCAAAGATTATTTAGAAACTACTGTTTCAATATTTCATTACCTGGGCTGTATTTTAAATTGGCTAGAATGTTCATTCATTCCATTAAACAGATTCCATTCTTTTTATATTTTCAGTTTTCTGATATTGCTCATTGTAGCAAAACTAAATGTAGCAATTAAGAAAGACACTTCAACTAATTCTCTCTAAATTTCAGTGAAGACATTGCAATGTGTACGTGTACAACTGTTTTAAAACTTGAAGGAAAAAAAACTAGAAAATGATGCATGTCCCTTAAAACAGTTCTTCAAAACAGAACTGCATTCTGTGCCCCTGGGTCATAAGGGTACAAGGCCAGTTACTTCAAAGTCATTTAATATCTGACCCTTATAATAAATCATTTTATAAAACCAAAGATGCAAAAGAAAATTTTAAAAGTTTACCCATCCCAAGATTGATTACAATAATTTGCACTTAGACCTATTCAGCACCCCCATGAGCGAATGAAAGGTCTCTGGTTAGTATTGAGTCAGGAAATATATTTTCATATTTTTCTTGGTTGCCTTAACTTCATTTAAATAATTTTCTTTTATATTAACTTTCCAAAGCATCCAATACTTTCATGATCTGCTGTTTTATGGCTCTGGTAGCATCTCCTGCATTTGGGATCAAATACCTACAGGGAGGAAAAGATAGATATATTGACCCACGAAGCCAGCAAATGCCCTCCCATGTACTCTCACAAGCTTATCTCAATAGATAACCAAAACTGTACTTGAAAATCTAAAAGTAAAAGTGATGGAACTTTTCATATAGTGCACAGCTAAGATTCTTTGAACTACTAGTAAGTGCATCTAAAGGCTAAATAATAGAACACAGGTAGCCAAATGCTCTACTCTGCTGTCTAGTACAGATACAATGTAATCTAAGATAGTTATAATTAGACAGAGACAACTTCAGTACTTACTAATTTGATCTGCAACAAAAATTTAAGTTCTCTAAAACAGATTCACAACACTGACTTACATTCTAAGACAAATTTATTGCAGTGCAAATCAATATAGCGTAGTGTAACAAGAGTATGTATAGATTATTCTTTTTTTTTTTTTTTTTTTTTGGTCTTTTGAAGACAGGGCCTCCCTGTAGCCCCAGCTGTCTTGGAACTTACTATGTAGACCAGGCTGGCCTTGAACTCACAGAGATCTGCCTGCTTCTGCCTCCTGAGTGCTGGGAGGCATGCGCCACAACATCCGGCCTAGATTATTCTTTTTTTAAAAGAAGATTTTGTTGAGCCAGACTTGGTGACACACTCGGAAGGCAGAGGCAGGTGGATCTCTGTGAGTTCCAGGCCAGCCTAGTCTACATAGTACGTTCCATGTCAGCTGGAGCTACAGGAAAACCCTGTCTCAAAAAAGACCAAAAAAAAAAAAAAATTTCGTTTTTATTTATGTGTTTGTACATGAATCTGTGTGTCTGTAAGGGTATGCTCCAGGGTATGCAGGTGTCTGTGGAAGCCAGAAGAGTCAGATCCCTTTGGAGGTGGAATTAGAGGCTTTTGTGAGCCACTTGATGTGGGTGCTGGGAACCAAACTCTGGCTCTCATGATTGAGGAGCAAGTGCTCTTAACTGCTGAGTCTGGTGTCAAAAAGCTTATGAGATTTACTACAGCATTACTGAAACCAAGTACTAATTCCTAAGCCACATATGAATAAATATTAGAAAGAAAAGAATACCTTACTGTTCAAAAGAAAAGTGTTTCAAGCATCCCATTCCATCACCCACTCACCAAAATCAAGAAAGAAACCGTGTTAATGAGTTGTGGCAAGGCAATTCACATCACTCAGGAAAAAAATCTTACCTTTCAATAGCCAAAATTTCGATTCCTGAAGCACTGCTGTTTCCATACTTGAAGGTAATTAGCTCAGGATGCTTTTTCTTTGACGTAATTTTAACTACAGAATTTAGTGCTTGTCGAGACTGAATATAAGCCAATCCTTTCCGTGAAACAATCTCCCTTAAGCAGTACATATGTGTTGCAGTAACCAACAGATGACTTGAGAGAAGAGCATTAAAAGAAAAAAGGTTTTAAATAAATGTGATTCAAAGAAGGTACATGTTACTTCAACAGCTCCAATGATAAAAAACATTCAACTTTAAATATTATTATTTTTATTTTATGTGTATGAGCATATTGCCTGTATGTAGGTAAGTGCACCCATGTCGTTCGTGCAATGCCCACGGAGGTCAGAAGAGGCTGTCAGATCCCCTGAGACTGGAGATAAGGACAGTTGTCAGCTGCCATGTGGGTGCTGGGAATTGGACCCAGGTCCTCTGCAAGACCATCCAGTGCTCTTAACTGCTGAGCCATCTCTCTAGCACCCCAAAACATTCAATGTTAAAAGAAAATTTTGAGTTATCTATAGAGGATACTCTATAAGGAAATATACTATGGATCATACTTCATAGAAACATGAAACATCGGCGTTATCTTATTATTTACCATAATAAGCTACATAACAAAACAGAAGACTTTTAAATTTTTCTTAAATTTTGTGCAAAAGCAATGTTTTTAGTTTTTTGGATTTTTTTTTTCTTTTTTCTGATTTTTTGGGTTTTTGAGACAAGGTTGTACTATGTAATCCTCACTGGCCTGGAACTCTCTATGTAGACCAGGCTGGCCTCAAACTCACAAGAGATCCACCTGCCTCTGCCCTGGGAAGGCTGGGATTAAAGGTGTGTTTCACCATGCCTAGCACAAAGGTAGTATTTTATTAACAGATAATACCACAGTTATTTAAGAGTAACGGTATATTTTATAATAAAAAGTCCAATGTAACATATAAATCATTAAAATAATGTTAACTTAAATGAACTATCCTGCCATTCAAAAGATGTTTAACAGGATCATCTATGTTCAAAAACTATTCTTAGTCAAGCACCATAGCCTACATCTAATAGCAAAAGTCACTAGGCAGCAGTTGGGCTTCTTTACATGTTTTATAATATTCTGTAAGTGGATCCTGAAGGCAAAATAAGCACAGATGAAACAAAACAAAGCAAACCCCCAAAAACCCTTTGTATCTTAGCTCACTTTTAACAGTGATAATATTCTTACAATTTTAGGTTATAATATGATAAATTATTAGGCATGCCCAGAATGTGAAACACCTTGTAAGACAATCAGCCTGCACTCAAAGGATTCATTCATCCATCATGAAAAGAAAGGGAAATGAGAGAGAAGGGAAAGTCTTAGGTTTACTGAGTGAGAACAGAGAAGACAGACAATTGCGTTGTGTGAATCATGGCTGGATCCTGGATTCAGAAGGAAAAAAAGACTATCAAAGATAACTTGGGGACACTGAAGATTCTGGGTACCATCTATGTTGGGTGATATTAATTTTAAAAATTGAGGTGAAGCCGGGTGTGGTGGCTCATGCCTTTAATCCCAGCGCTCTGGAGGCAGAGGCAGGCAGATCTCTGAGTTCATGTCCAGCTTGGTCTACAGTGTGAGTTCCAGGTCTGCTGGCGCTACAAGGAGACCCTGTCTCAAAAAAAAAGTGAGACAGATAAGTTGGCAGTGGTAATTATGTCTTCTTGTACTTTAATAAAAGTCAATTCAATAAAAGTCAGTTCAATTTTGTATTATTAACTTCTCCAAATTCACTCTTCTGAAAAAGAAATTTTAAAAAGTACCTAGGAAACATATGTCCACTTTCTTTTACTTCTTTACAAGGAAAATGATGCTTGATATCTGGCTTGTTTATCCAAGTCTGAATGTTTACAACTTCTTTTCTATCATCATCTGACATTGAAGAACTGTCAATTTCATCTATAAAGAAATTATAGGGTTAAATGTAGGTGTTATCAACTTTAACAACCTGGAACTTTTTGCTGTATTTTGAACATACAGGAGAAGGGGGGATGGAATTCTATTTCCTTATGCCACTGGCTTTACTCCAGAATTATGAAACGCTACAATAATGGTAAGAAAGTCACATTAAAATACTGAGAACACATTTTGGAAGAATTCTGATGTAGACAGAGCTATGATCTGACTTGTCAGTAATAAATACCTATCTTGAGGTAAAGAAGGCAGTGTACTTTTTCTTTGCTAATTTCTGGTTTTTAAATGAAAAATGACAATAAAATCAATCTTTGGATTACACCAAGAAAAATCTTTCCATGAAAAAAAATCAACATTCCAATTTTGTTTTTCTAATTTAAAAAAGAGGAATTACAGTCCCTAAGGTTCATAATCACACAAACACACACGCACACACACACACACACACACACACACACACTCTCTCTCTCTCTCTCTCTCTATATATATATATATATTCATATATATGCATGAGTATATGGAGGTCAGAGGTCAGCTCCTAGTATCACTCCTCGGGAGCCAACAACCTCTTAAAAAATTAATTTGAAATTTTATATTTACTTTGTGTGGGCATGTGTGCTGTGGCACAGGTGTAGAGGATGGAGGACAACTTGGAGGAGTCCATCGTAGATCCTGGGGATCAAACTCAGTGTCAGGATTGGTAGAAAGTGTCCTGACCTGCTGAACCATCTTGCCAACCCCTGATCCCCTTTTCAGACAGGGTTTCTCATTAGCCTGTAGCCCACTGTGTAAATTATACTGGCTGGCAGGCCAACAGGCTCTAGGAATCCACCTGTCTCTGCCTCCAGGGTGCTGGGAATACAAGCACGGGCCATTGTGCTCAGGTTTTTCACGTAGGCTCTGGGAATGGAACTCAGGTCCAAGCATTTTCCCAACTGAGCTATCTCCTCAGCTCCTTCCCTTTGCTTTTTAATAAATTTCAAAATATAAAGAGACAGTGATAAAAGAAATCCATGTATCAATAGTCCAGCTTAAATCACAGTGAAGTCCTCATGTTATCACACACCCTAATCACAGCTCCTTCCCTTGGCTAAGAAGTAGTGACTAGCTCTGTGTGAACAGTTGCACGTGTCATTTCTTTAATTACACGATTATTCTTAAATAATAATACGGTAGTATTTTTCGATTTATAAAAATGTTTACAAAAAGTAGGCAATTTAATACAATATTGCCATCTTGTGGTCCTTTAAGATATTTATGCCTCTCTTCTGTCCCATAAGCATCTCCTACTGGGTAATGAAAGGGATTTAAAAAGAATCTCATGGACTTACATACAACTTGTACAAAGCTAACCTCTCCTCAGCTGAAAATTCTTGTTAGCCAAAAGCCCAAATAACATTTTTGCTTAGATGTCTATTAAGCGCAATTCAAGAAGCCTAAGACAAGACCCCCACTTCTCACTACAGAAGTCTGCTCTGTGTGGTAGCTGTCTGCTAGTCCCAAAATGACTATCACGCCTGGACTGAGGAAGCGAATCTGCAAATAAATGTATTACTCAACCTGTGTCGTATTCTTCTTCATCCCCAATGCTGAACACAGGCTTTACGCCGCGGTAAGGCTTGCCCACTCTGTCACTGCTGCTCACATGCCTGTATTCAAACAATTTTAGGGGGGAAACATCACTAAGAAGTAATCCAAGATTTTAACTAAGCATCATCTGAACACTCAAACAAAATGTAAATGTTCTTTGACCTTCATGGACCACCCATAGGTTTAAGACAACTATTTTAAAGAAATTGAAAGACAAAGAAATTATATGAGCAAAGGTACCAAAACATCTTGATAGGCTGATGATCTGATCTTAAGTCTGTAAAACTTAAATCAAACAATTTTAAAACTCTTATTTAAGCCAGTGGTTAGCGGTGTCTGGGCCGTATACAACCCCTCTCTGTGCTGTTTTCTCATTTGTAAAATGAAAAACAGATTCTACCCTTGAGGATTACCTGACAATTAAACAAGCTACTTTTTCCTTTTCTTTTTTCAAATGAAGCTCTTAGAACATGCCTACTAAAGAGTGGGTACTATATACACAGTTGCTGCACAAAACAAATTATAGCACTACATATTCCAATTCCAGGACTTCTTTTGCAGGTACATGTTTCTTAAGTTTTTCTTCCTTTTATTACTGCTATTTGTTTTTAATAAAAACTGAGATTCTACTTCTTTCTCATAAATTAATGTTTCAATAAAATATTACACAGTTCTGGGGAAAATAGAATTTCATTTGTTATTTCACTACAAAAGAAGACTGGAATTTTTCTTAATCAAAAATGAAGATACTCAGAATCTTCTGTTTTTAAGAATCTAATCTGAGGAAAATAAAGATTTAGTTTCAGATCAGTTTTACAGAAGAGCCAGATCAAATTTATATTTTAAGTAATTTAAACACATATCTTCAATAAAAATCTTACCACAACCTTTATTTAAGCAGACTTAAATACTTCTAAATCAAGCCTTCTCAAAACAAATGGGAAGCAAGCAGGCAAGCCTTGCTCTGTGTTTAGTCTAGGACAGATATTCTTTAGGACTAATACGTTAGGTTAACTCATAAGTTAACTTGCACCTAAAGTTTGAGTTAGCAGTCATAAATAGCTTGATTTTATGTTAAAACATATCTAATGCAAAACTACAAATTATCAAACTATGAGAGAGAGGAGAGAGAGAGGACAGAGAGAGAGAGGGAGGTGGGGAGGGAGGGAGGGAGGGAGGGAGACTGTGTGCACACATGGAGGTCAGATGACAACCTCGGGTGTCATTCCTCAGTCACTGACCACCTTGTTATTGAAGACAGTCTCACTGGCCTGGAGCTCACCGATTAGGCAAGGATGGCTGGTCAGCAAACACCAGAGATCTACCCATTTCCTTCCCAGTGCTAGGATTACAAGCATAAACCACCATCCCTGGCTTTTTTATATGGGTTCAGAGGCTGCAACTCAGGTCCTCATGGTTGTCCTGGAATTCCTATAATGACTGAGCCATCTCAACAGCCTCTGGGGTATGCTTTTGAAGAAGACACACTGGGATCCTGCTACATTGTTTTTCTTTCTTTTATTCTAGTTTGAGGTGAAGAGTTTTACAATATTACATGCTTTGCATACTATATACTGCCTCACCACAGGCCAAGCACAATGAATCTATCCTCCTGAGGATCAAACCTCCAAAACTGTGAGCCAAAATAAACCTTTCTCTTTCAAATTAATTGTCTCAGATATTTTAACAGTAATGGAAAGGTAATAAACAGACATGGCCAGAGGAGAGAGAGACAGAGAATAAAAGAAATAGTTCCAAACAACTTTGAAACTCAGTTCTATCAAAAGGCAAGGCAAATGATAATACTGGAAACTGTGCCATCTAGATTGCAAAATTCTATGAGATTAAATTATAAGTTCTCTTCGGTTATTAAAGCACAAACTGCAATAACAGAGAGTTAAAAAGATCACTCTGCATTACAATGAATGCTTGAACAAGAAATTAAGTATGAGTAAAGGGACAATCCCAAAATATAAGCTGTTCATTATTAATCTAGATTTATAAACCAATCATGCAGGTGCATGTATGTATGTGGGGATCACATGCACGTGTGCTCATGCATAGAGAGACCAGAGGACAATCTTGGGTGTTATTCTCAAGTACCACTCACCTTATCTTATGAGACAAGGTCTCTTACTAGCCTGGGGCTGGCCAGCCAGTGAGTCCAAGGATCTACCTGCCTCTGCTTCTACAGTGCCTGGGTTATAAGTATGTGCCACCATGATCAATTTTTTAAAATATGGGTTTCTGGGAATTGAACTCTGGTCCTTATGATTGTTTCCTACAAGAAGTTTACTGACTAAGCGTCTCCTTAAGTGTACAATGCAAAGTTTTTATGAACAAGAATGTTAAAGATTACTGTGACTGTAATTTTCACAAATTTAATGAAACTCAGTAGTTGAACTCACTTTTTTGTTTTTTGTTTTGTTTCAATGCTGGGATTTGGTTGGACTACAGTGTGGACAAGTTTTGACTTACTGAGTTCAGAAATAAACTCAATTTACTCAAGTTTTTAATTAAATTGCATTTTCAAAATAAATACATCTGTATGTAGACCACAGAAGATATGTTTAAAAAATCAAAAATGTAGGGGAAAAAAATGGGATTTAAATATTACCAACTCAGTGGTCCCATTATAGAAGATGATTCACAAATAGATTACAATTTTCAAAGAAGCAATTTTATTTAGAATACTGTTAGGTAAAATTAAATTGTTGCCTTATATAGGAACAGTCAGAACAAATATTTAAGTCATTAAGCTATTATTTTTAAAATGCTATTATCAATTTTTTTTTATTTTTTGAAGTATGAAGCTGTTTCTAGTTTTAGGTGCTATAATTTTCTGTTAGAACTGGAAAGAGTACGAAATTATTCTAAAGCTAATGCTGCTTCACCTTTCCCTGCCCAAGAATAAAAACTATAGAAATTTATGAAGTTCTTGAGTTTAAACAAGTTTGATTCTTATCTGAGGAATGGGAGAAACATGCAAGGCAAAAAAAAAAAAAAGAATCAAGCAAAAAAACAAAAGAAAAGCAAATCTATCAGCATAGCACACTCCTATAAGCAGAACAAGAAAAGTTTAGCTTTTAAAAGAGCAGCATTTTTGCCAAGGCAGCACAAGGCTTGCAGACAGTACCAGCATGCTAGAGGGAAGGATGGTTCAAAAGAGCTGTTCTACTCATTGGCTTACCGCTCTGTACATGATCTGTCTGGCCAAGGAAGATTGAAAGACATTCTATAGCAAATCAAGGCAGAGGGCAGAACAAAATGATTACGAAAACAAATGCATCAGCTTTAGAAAATACACAGTAAAATCCATTCTTAACCCAGTGCATACATTACTTCAATCATTTCAAGCACAGAGAAAAATTAAGAGAAGACAGTTTTTCTTTTCCTTTTTTGAGACAAGGTCTCCCTGTAGCCTCAGTTGGCCTGGAACTAGCTATGTAGACCAGGCTGGCCTCAGTCTCACAGAGTTCTGCCTGCCTCTATCTTCTGAGTGCTGGGATTAAAGGCATGTGCCACCACACCTGGTGAGAAGCCATTTTTTTTTTTCATCACAAAATGACCAGTTTAATTCTTTCACTAAGGACAAATACAGAATAGGACCCAACAAGTCCATGGATGGACCCGGAGGAATCACACACTTGGCTTACATGTTGAGTTTTTAATGGTTTCCTTTTGGTACCATACCTATGCTCACATTTGACAAGCCGAAATAGGACAAAGGTCCTTGGCAGAACAAATGATCTCCTATTAAATGTAGAGATACAGATGAGTCACACAGAGACAACAAAAGCCTGGTTTCTAGTAATTAAGCATTTGAACTTGGCCCTTTTCTTTAATTATACAGAACTGTTCCCAAAGTATTAAAATGACAGGCTGGGACATGATGCCTTCCATAGGGGAGTGCGGCATGTTGGCTTCCGCCCTCTTGTGAGCCAAATGCTAAATTCCAGCCTATTTCCCCTATAAATGCAGTTAGGAGCTCTCTAAGCCTTTTGTGTGAATCCAGGGGTGGCAGGGAATAGTCTAGCGAATTCTGACAAGTGATGCTTCAACAGCACATTTGTGCTTTGGCTAAGAAGTCTGAGCTGTTAGCTGCTGGGTCATGGCAACAAACACACACACCACTGACATACCAGTTTCTGAAATGAGTCCCAAAATAACAAAATTTTTCCAATGGGATGGGACATACAGGGTGGAGTTGGTCCATCATGCAGCCAAAAGAGATAATGATTTCAGTCCTTAGTGGAACTCCACTGGGTTTGCCACTCCTGGGTTAGGCCATGTTTCTAGCTCAGTGGGGTCACAGGGCCCTCCCTACTCTGAGTAAGAAGCCAGTTTTTAAGTGATACTTTAGCAAAGACAAGTCTTTTCAACTGTGGTTACCACTAGTCAGTTTTAAAACAAAATGAGGTCATTAAAAAACAAAAATTTAAATATTCATACCACAAAACACAGCAGTAATAGTTCTGAAACTTAGCAGCACTAAAAGAGTTTGGCTTCTGAGAGACGATGTAACTCTTGAGCACAGAAGTCTTTCAGGCTTGATAAAATGCTTTAATAATTGTTAGGCTGCTTTGGATAAGGTCCAAGTTTTGGATTAGTGAAAATAATCTATTGCCTTCTTTTCTACTTACTAAATAGAGAAATACACTTTTGTATGCTTAACAAAGAGAGAAAGCAAATTTCTGATATTTAGTTCTTAAAGTCTTATGTTTCAAGTTACTGCAAGTAAGACAGGAGAGTGAACTCACTCAGTAACATGTGTTCAGGATCAGGCCAGCTTAGAAACAAACTCTGTATCAGATAAGGTTAATTGAGCTTTGAACAATCTAGGAATGAATCTTCCAACCTTTTGATATTGTGACATAATGTCACCTATAAAATTCCTGCTTAAGAACTGTACAATCAAATTACACATACACACAAGATCACAAAAATATCTCATAACAGTTTGAGTAAGGTTACAATTTTATCTTGGGTCTCATTAACAGTTATCTCAGGCTGCAGACTGCACACAATGAATTGGACTAATACATAAAAACAGTATTATATTCAGAACAAGAAAACATTCTTTTTAAAACACTTTAAAAAAAATTTTGTGTATATGCGTGTATTGCCTGCATTGTAGTTAAGTGCACCCATGTCGTGCAATGCCTGCGGAGGTCAGAAGAGGCTGTCAAATCCCCTCGGACTGGAGTTACGGACAGTTGTTAGCTGCCATGTGGGTGCTGGGATTCGAACCCAGGTCTTCTGCAAGAACAACTAGTGTTCTTAACCACTGAGCCATCTCTCCAGCCCCTTAAAACACTTTTTATTTACTTATTTTTAAAAATTATTTTATTATTTTTATTTTATGTATCTGAGTGCATTGCCTGCATGTAGGTAAGTGCATCCATGTTGTGCAATGCCCACAGAGGTGAGAAGAGGGTGTTGGATTCCCTGGAATTAAAGTTACAGTTTTTACCTGCTATGTGGGTCCTGGGAACTGAACCCGAGTCCTCTGGACGAGCAGCCAGTGCTCTTAACCACTGAGCTGTCTCCCCAGTCCTACTTATTTTTATTTTATGTGTATGAGTGTTTTGCCTGTGTGTAAGTATGCCTGCAAAAACCAGATGAGGATACGGGACTTCCTGGAACTGGAGTTGCAGGCCGTTGTTAGCCCCCAAACAAATATTCTTAAATATACTTTTCAGCAATTCACCATGCTCCCTATTTTAATTCATGGAATTTATATTTTAAAACAAATTTCTATGCAGATCTGTACTAGGGTATTAAATCTGACCAAATTATCTCGGTTTTAAATTCTTAGAAAGCAGAAGTTCCTGCTGAAATATCTTGTATTTGGTAGATAATTCCCCATCATTTGATTTTTTGGGGAGGAGGGAAATAGTTACTATAAGAACTACAATACACATGGGACATGAGTATTTTTTAATGAATGAGATAAAAGAACATACTCATAAACACATTACTCTGAGCAATGGGAAAATAATCCATCTAGCCAAACTTAGAACAGAAGTATACCCTGGCAATTATGATGAAAATTATGAGAACTGACAGAAAATGTACCTTATAATTACTTTCTACAATACTTTCAATTAAACTTTATTTACAGAGACACCTTTCTTTAGTTTTAATTATTCATCATAAATTCATACTATATAAGAAACTTACCGGTCCACAGGAGTTGATGTATTCTCAATAAAACTGATAACCTTTTCTCTGACATTAACAGATTTTGTCTTTAGAGCCACAGTCATTTTATTTACAAGTGACTTCATTCCTCTATCATTTGAGCCATTACAAGATTCACCCTGAAAAACAGTAACATGGATGAAATCCTCTCCAAATAGCTAACACATACATTACTGCTCAAGGTTATCCACAGTGTAGACAGAACTGTGCCCCCCCCTCAAAATTCATGTAAACTACTAAGACCCAGTACATTTTAGAATGTGACTGCATTTAGACACAGGGTTCTTAAAGAAGTAACTATGGTTAAATTAGGTCAAGGTTGACTCAGTTCCATTCTCTGTGTGTGTATGTGTGTTTGTTTCATGTCCGTGCAAGTGTAGAGGCCAGACATTACTGTTTTTGAGAAGAGTCCCTCACTGAACCTGAAGCTTAGCAACCCAGACTGACTGGCCAATGACAGGAATCTTCCAGCCGTGCTCCCCAGCTCTTATCCCAACACTGGGTTTACACAAGCCCATGACTGCACCTTGCTTTCCCAGGAGTGCTCAGGGTCCAAACTCAGGCCTTTCCTGACTGAGCCATCTCCCCAGTCCCCAATTTACTTTTTGAGAGAGGAGAGACATGGGGCTATGTGCACAAAGGAAAGGCCATGTGAACATGAGGATGTGGTAGGAAGGTGGCCATTTGCAAGCCAAGGAAGGCTCAGGATTTGCCAACACCTTGATCCCCAACTCTGGGTCTTCAAAACTGTGAGAAAATACATTTCTGTTAAGCCACACGATCTGTGGCATTTGTTACAGCAACATTAGCAAACTAATTCACTACGGAAAAAGTTAGGGGCCTGGAAATATAGCTCAGTGGCAGAATGCTTGCCTAGCACATCCAAACACCTTGGATTCAATAACTAATACCACATAGCACAATAATGACACAGAAAGAAAAACTACTTGATCTTTCTTAACACAGACAAATCCACAAAAATAAGAAAAACATAAATTACTTGTCTTGTAGCACAATTTAAAAAAGATATTCCTCATATACTGCTTTTTGCTGTTACTGTTTTTTATTGTTGCTGTTCTTTAAATAGAGCGTCTTAACAGTAGTAGTTACTACTTTAATAGTCGTTATAAAACTTTAACTCACTAGATGTGTGTTGCCCAGGTTGGCCTGGCACTCACTATGTAGCCTAGGCTGACCTCAAACTCCCAAGCAATCCTCATATCTCAGTCTCCCAAATGCTGAGATTACCAGTGTGAGCTGCCATACCTAGTTTATATTTTTCTTTTGAATAGAAAGCAACATGATGAGAGGCATCAAGGTTTAAAAGAGTTCCTATCTTTTGCCCAATAATTCTTCAGAACTTACAGGAAAGAAATAAGCAGAAAGCACTTAAATTTTGAGGTACTATTTGCTATAAAATTATATAGACATAAAAATACTTTTAAGTTGGATGTGGCGGCACTTGCCTTTAACCCGGCACTCAGGAGGCAGAGGCAGGAAATCTCTGTGAGATTGAGGCCAACCTACTCTACACAGTGAGTTCTAGGCCAGCTGGGGCTACAGAGAGACCTTGTCTCAAACAAACAAACAAAACACAAAAAAATAAAGCTGGGTGTGGTGGCACACACCTTTAATCCCAGCACTCAGGAGGTAGAGGCAGGGGCAGGCAAATGACAATTATGTCTAGGTAATTTTTCTTACCTTATACTTTTTTTTTTTTTTTTTGGCCTTTTTGAGACGGGGTCTCCCTGTAGCCCCAGTTGGCTGGAAGTCACTATGTAGACCAGGCTGGCCTTGAACTCACAGAGATCCACCTGCCTCTGCCTCCGGAGTGCTGGGCTTAAAGGCGTGCATCACCATGCCTGACTTCTTTGGCAGTTTTGAATAGAATACTCATTTAAATACCGTTTCTGCAATAGCCTCAATTAATGTTTTTCAAATCTAAAGGTAGAAACTTCAACAGAAAGACTATCTCCAAAGGCTATGCATGGGAATATCAGTACAGTGGTTTCTGGAGGGCCATTTGAGAATAATGCAGAATTCTAGAAATTTAGACAATCTTTTCAACATGTTATTCTACTAAGCAATGGCATCTGCAAATAGGTTACTATAAGAATTAATTGCAGTAGTGTCTGTAACAGAAAAAAAACCAAAAGCAATGTAATATTTGGCAACAGGGTATTAACTGAGTAACTTATAACACATCCACACAATGAATACTCCTTAGTTTTTCTTTTTTTTTTTTTTTTTATACACAAGTCCTCTCTGTAGCCCCTGATGGTCTGAAACTCACTATGTAGACCAGACTGGCCTATAAAATCAGAGATTTGCCCGCCTCTTTAATCCCAAGTGCTGGGATTAAAGGTGTGTGCCACCATGACTGGCTTAGTTTTTCTTATATACCTAAAGGATCAAGATTAAAAAAAAATTCTCAGAGAAGCCCTATCTGCAAGTAATGTGACAATGATCTATTTTGATCCCACGGATGAAGATAAACCTTCACATATCTAGTAAGCTACAATTTTGTAACTAACTACTATTAACTATTTTGTGAAGGGTATTATACATGCTCTTGCACATCTAATCCTCAAGTCCTCCTGAAGAGGAAAACTCTTAACATTTTTATCGAACATATGTAGACATCACAGCTGAAAGGTTTCTTTCTGGAAATCATAAAAAAGGTACGCTATACAGATGAACTCTGGACCCAAGTATGGCAGAGTCCTAAATCCAAATGAGTAATCACAATCCTATATCACAGTGTTCTGTCTCTGTTTTAAAGACCAAACATTGTATAAATGACTATTGTTAAGAAAATGATTTAATGACATTTAACTCAACTGACCTAAAATAATGAAAAAACACAAAAGATTTATTGCTCAGGTATTTCCAAAGGACTACAAAAATGGATTTACCTTCTACAGCAAAGCTTTTAAGTAATTCACATCTCAATAACTAAACATCAAATATAACAGGCAGGGTGACTTTTTCCTTTCTCTGTCTGGCTTATTCACACATGTGAATAGACTTGGGAAGTCTTGATCAAGTATGCTTGTTGTGAGGAAGGACAGATAAGGTACATAGATGTGAACATGGGTCCAGTATTTGCATAAACTGGGAGGTTCCAAGGATCAGCTCACTTAGAAAGAGTGCCACCTAGTTCAGTCATATAGACTTACTCCATCATTTCATGAAATTTGCAATAATAAGATTCTTCATTGTCTTTGAATATTTTTGACACTGTTTCTGTTAAAGTTGGGGATTTGAGAGCTAGTCACCTTTTATGGGAACTGGCCCAAACACATGGTGACATATTCTATACATACACTTACATCAACAGAAGAACTAATACTGCTCCTTGAGCCTGAGGTGCTGGCAATCCAATGACCATATCCACTTTCTGGTCCATCGACATTAATGTCTGCCAGGTGCTGCTGCAGGGCTTAAGATACACAACACAAAACAAAGCAAAACCTGAAATATGAGACTTTCTGGGAAAGAGTAATAATCAGAGAAGTGTAATCAACATGTCACAGATGAACGAAAAAAAGTCCAAAGACATAATCAACAACTGTGTTGTCCTGCACCCCTATAAAGGACTAGAGAATTCCAGGCCACAGCAAACCTTCTTTTTTCACCCTTCTAAAGCCCTCTGCAAAAAGGCCATTTTTCCTAACTGTCCGTGAAAGTGATGATTATAAAGGCTTTATGTTTTCTTCCTTAGAAGGCTTTTAAGTATTTTAATTCTTTGAAGCATTAACAGATAATATCTGCAGAATTTTGTGATATTAAAGATTAACAGAAAAGCTTGGAGGTTGTGTTATACCACAAGGAGTCATCGATCAATTTTTCCCATAATAAAGTAGACTTAGGCATTAACAGTTATAGAAAGATAAAAGGTAAAACAAATATGCCTTAAAATGTTTCTGAAAATCTAGACTCCAGTTGGGCATGGTGGTGGGGCATACCAGAACACTTCTGAGAATTATATAACTAGTAATCAATTTATATTACATTATCAGGATTTCTTTTTTATATGTAAATTTTATTATTTTTATTTAATTAGACATATTTTATTTATTATTTTTATTTTATGTGTATGAGTGTATTGCCTGCATGAATGTGAGAGCACCCGTGTAGTGCAGTGCCACAGAAGTCAGAAGAGGGCTTCAGATTCCCTGGAACTGGATTTAAGGATGATTCGTAGCTGCCACGTGGGTGCTGAGAATCAAGCCTGGGTCCTCTGCAAGAGCAGTCAGTGCTCTTAACCGCTGAGCTATCTCTCCAGCCCCTATTTTATTTAAAATATTGTTTATTATTTTTATTTTATGTGTATGTGTATATTGCCTGCAGGTAGGTAAGTGCATCCATGTCGTGCAATGCCTGAGGAAATCAGAAGCTGTCGGATGCCCTGGGACTGGAGTTATGTACAGTTGCTAGCTGCCACATGGGTGCTGGGATTTGAACCCAGGTCTTCTGCAAGAACAACCAGTGTTCTTAACCACTGAGCCATCTCTCCAGCCCCCATTATCAGGATTTCTAATAAACACACCAGGCAGAGAGCCAACATTTGTATAACCATATATTTCAATAAAATAGGCTTGTCTTGAACTTATTATGTAGCTGAGGATGACCCTGAACTCTTGATTCTCCTTGTTTCTAACTCCTGAGTGCTGGGATTTTAAGTATGCGCCACCATACCTAGCTTTATGTAGAGCTAGGGGTTGAACCCAGAGCCCTGTGCATGTTAAGCAAGGACTCTAACAACTAAGCCACATCCCTAACTCCTCTCCTGCCACATACTCAACACACAGCTTTAAAAAAAAAAAAAGACTGGCCTAGAACCCATTTTAGCATAGTCTATCCTCAAATTCCTGATCCACTTAGGAGGCTGAGGAAGGAGAACAAGGAATTGGAGGATGCAGTTCAGTGGTAAAATGCTTGCCTTGCATGCAGGAGGCCTTGAATTCAATTCTGAGAACCTGGCCCCAAAATAAAACAAAATAGTTTTTGAAACAGAAGCTAATGAAGCACGATTATTTGTTGAAACAGTCTCTATTTGTTCATTTCAACTTCCTATCTTATTTGCTATCTCTATGTTCTGCTCACCTTATCTTTTCTGAAAATATCAAGACACTGGAGACAAACTATACCCATTGACTGGTATGGTCACACTAAATCAGCTCTACTGATAATCACTACCTTTTTTTTTCTCTGAAAAGTAAGGGAATGAAATTAATACATTAAAATCTTACCCATAAATCCTCCACTGGCAATACTCACATATTCTTTGTTTTTCTGTAATGAAAGATAAAACTTAAATTATTTCAAAATGCAATTTAGCTAACACTCCTGACAGACTTACAACATGGAGAAATGAAATACATAGGTATATATTAAAATTCTGGAATAACTTTTTTCCTTGACAGTTTGGACTTTGGCACAGAGTTATTTATCTTGCATACTGTAGGTGTTGGTGCTTGAGCAAGAGGCTCAATGGCTATTAACACATCTGTGGTTTTATTTGTGTTACAGTCTGAATAGAGCAGAGTCAAACCACATTTAATGAAATGATATTTTAGGATGTATCAAAGTACTTCTCTTCTTTTTTGTATCAAAGCACTTTTAAAAACAGCTTATTATTTTTATGTGTAAGAGTGTATTGCATGCATGTATAAACGTGCACCTACATCATGCAATGTCCACAGACTTCAGAGACAGAAATAGAGTTTTGGAGGACTGTTAGCTGGGAATTGAACCCATGTCCTCTGCAAGAGCAGCCAGTGCTCTTAACTGCTGAGCCATCTCTCCAGCCCCTCAAAGTACTTTTTTTAATTTCAAAATATTCTGAGTCCCTCATAAAAAGGTGATACGGAATGACAGAATGTATACCGTTTTGCAAGCTACTAAAAACATAAGCGTAAGGTGTGGTAGTACACATCTGAAATCCCAGTGTTTGGGGAGCTGAGGGTTGAGGATCCCAAATTTGAGACCAAGTTGGGTTACATAAAATAAAATTTGAAAAAACAAAACAAATAAAAACAAAACCTAGGGACTGGCAAGATGGCTCCACAGGGTAACTTTCCACCAAGTCTGAGGATCTGAGTTTGATCCCTAGGACCCCCAAAGGGAAAGAAAGAAGCGATTCCCACAAGTCATTCTCTGACCTCCACTTGTGCCACATGACATGCATGGGATACAAAAAAAAAAAAAAAAAAAAAAAAACCAAAAAAACAAATTAAATATATCTTGCATGTCTGCTTTTGTCTTTCACAGATTTTATTGTCAGAATAATTTTCTCAAACCAGATTCCTAATAAAATAAAACCTAACTAGAAATAAATCAAAATTAAGGGGCTATGAAACATCAAAGCTCTTTTCCTGATTTCACAGTTTACAATCAAACAAGAATGGACTTCAGTGTTCAATCTGCCAAAGAAAGCACTGAACAAATAACTTATAAAGAGCCACCAGCAGGGATGGCAAGATGGCTCAGTGGTTAAGAGAACTGGCTGCTCTTGCAGAAGACCTAGGTTCAAATCCCAGCACCCACAATGGGAGATTTGACACCCAATTCTGTCCTGCATAAACACTGCACAACATGGATGCACTTACATATACGTAAGCCTAACACTTATACACATAAAATAAAAAAATTTTTTAAAGAGCTACTAGTGACTCAAGATGTTGAATCAGAGAAAAAGTCTCTTGAAGTAAACTTTATGTGACTCTATACAAAGTCACAGATACAAATTAGTTTACTGAAGACAACAGTCAAACACTAAGAGAAAAAATAGCTAAATGTAATGAATTAATAGATACGTATATTTATTTAAATAAAATAAATCATATGGGGCTGGTGAGATGGCTCAGCAGTTAAGAACACTGACTGTTCTTGCAGAAGACCTGCGTTCGAATCCCATCACCCACATGGCAGCTAACAACTGTCCGTAACTCCAGTTCCAGGGGATCCGACAGCCTCTTCTGTCCTCCACAGACATTGCACAATGCAGGTGCACTTACCTACATGTCGGCAATACACGCATACACATAAAATAAAAATAAAAAATATTTTAAAAAATCATATAGCTACAATAAAAAGTACTAGAACATGAACAGACATAAAGATTAATGCAATAGAATAATCCATGTATAGATTCTCATCATAGAAGAATCCAGCATATTATAGGGCTGGAGAGATGGTTCAGCAGTTAAGAGCACTGGCTGCTCTTGCAGGAGCTGGGTTCAATTCCCAGCACCCACATGGCAGCTAACAAACATCTGCAATTCCAGTTCCAGGGGATCTGATGCTCTCTTCTGACTTCCTTGGGTACTGAACAACATGCAAGTAATACACTCATACACATAAGTAAAAATAATAAATAAAATACTAAAAAAGGAATTCATATTACAAAGTTATAGCACAATTAGCTTTCTAGCTGGAAAAATAAATTCCCACTTTGCTTCTTATACAAAAATAAATTTCAGATCGTTCAAAACTTAAAACATGAGAAAAATCACATAAACCATGTGGGAAAAATATGGAGGAGAAAAGGATCCTTATCTTAGTAAGATACAAAATCAAGAGGCTATGAAGAAAAATAAATCTGGCTGAGTATTTAAAAATAAAAAAACTGTGGATTTCTTCAAGGTATTATCAATGACCAAGCAAAATGGGTCAATCTACCAGCATACCTGCAAAAAGTGCGCCAGGACCATGTTCATGTACATGTCTTCCTCCTCTCTGCCACTGCCCATAAAACAGAGATGTTCCCCACCAGCTATGGAGCCGGACTCAATAGACTGCTTCTGTGCTTCCAACAAGGACTTTACTGACTGCGCAAACTCAGATGGATTCTGGAGCATCTATATAATTTTTAAAAATTAAAAATTGACAAAGCTGTGATTTATATACATTTTCAAAACTTGAGTTTTCCAGGCAAAGAATCAACATTTAAAGACCAAGCTAAGAGCAAAAGAAAAAGAAAAGACTTATGTAAGTAAAATTCCTGGGATAGGAGAAAAGGTTTATGTACATAATAAAACAAAAGCTGAAAATTCAGAGTATACAAAAAACCCCCACTATTCTATTAGTGAAAAAATTGTTTCTTATATAACAAAACCCAACTATAGTATCCTTAGTTATGATGGCAATAAGAGTTTAACCCTGAGTAGAAGGCACAACACCTGTCTCAAAAAGACTTTAAAATTCATTTCTTATCCTCAATGAAACAAATATGCCAATAACTACAACTACAAAATGCTAAGTAGTTGTTATTGGATCACACACAAAGTACAGTGGAAATCCAATAGAAAAATGGACAAATCATAGAGAGCTTTTTTTTTTTTTTTTTGAGACAGGGTCTCCCTGTAGCCCCAGCTGGCCGGGAACTCACTATATAGACCAGGCTAGTCTTGAGCTCAGAGATCCATCTGCCTCTGCCTCCCAAGTGCTGGGATTAAAGGCATGTGCCACCATGCCCAGCTGAGAATAGCATTTTTTTAAAGGTGTTTGTACCTTTAGTAATTACCACTATTTTTCAGCCAACATTCTAGAAAGGACCCAGGTTTAGTTCCCAACACCCACATGGCAGCTAACAACAGCCTGTAACTCCAGTTTAGGGGATCTAATGCCCTCTCTGGCCTCTGCGGGTACCAGCCACACTCATGGTACACTTCACACATGTAGGCAAAACACTCATGCACATAACAAAAATAAAATCTCTTTTAAAAGTACACAAAATATGTGTAAAGATGTTAACTGCAGCTTCATTCTATAAAAACTGAAAACCATCCAAATGTATATTAATCAGGCCATAAATTATGGTTCATCTGCACCACGGACCTCTATGCACCATTAAGAATAAATGTGTTTAAATGGGAAGGAAGATCTCTAGGAAACTGTTAAGTAAAAATAAAGTGGCAAAAACAGAAATACATACATGCGTATTAAAAGTGTGGATGATTAAGCAAGCTGGTAATAGTAGCGATTCTGGATACTCTGAAAAAAAGTTAATTCATGAAAATAAAGGAATTCATAGCCAGGCATGGTGGTGCACACCTTTAGTCCCAGCACTTGGGAGGCAGAGGCAGGCGATCTCTGAGTTCAAGGCCAGCCTGGTTCACATAGTGAGTGTAAGGCCAGCCGGGGCTACAGAGAGACCCTCTCTCAAAAAGACGAAAAAAAAAAAAAAAAAAGAAAGGAATTCACGAATCAATGAACCACCTGGGTAAATTTTAAAAAATAAGCATGGCCGGGCGTGGTGGCACATGCCTTTAATCCCAGCACTCGGAAGGCAGAGGCAGGTGGGTCTCTGTGAGTTCGAGGCCAGCCTGGTCTACATAGTGAGTTCCAGGAGAGCTGTGGCTACAAGGAGACCCTGTCTCAAAAAAAGACAAAAAAAAAAAAGGCATGAAAGGCACTCACCTAGAAGACATGAACAAAATGAACAAAGTAGAATGGCGTTTCTCACCTACAGGGTTCTACACTGAGTTGTTTGTTGTTCCTTCATTTTCTGTTAGTTTCCTCTCCATACCACCTAGACCCTTCAACATATCCCCAGCATCAACTTTTCCAGACAAAACCAGGAGCATGGTAGCTGCATGTTCAGAGGGGTAAGGGGCATCACCCCTGCTATTTTCTGCCTGCCCAATCCCTGAAGCCGCTACAACCTCAGAATAGCATACATGATGCCACAGGTCTAGGTTCTACCAACAGCTCTAAGCATCTCTGATTATACTACTTATTTTACCTACTTTTCCAACTGAAGTTACCCAGGCTAGTTAATTTTGGACAACTGAGCAGTTATAAGTCAAATACCACCTTTACTACACAGTAGCTTGTTAGACATACTCATGAATTTAAAAAAGGCTAACAGTAAGGACTTCACAGATCCTTATTCAATTGTACAAGAGCTGTCCTTTCTGGAGTACTTACTAGGTGCAAGGCACTATGCCAAGTGATCTGTCTTTGAGGCAGCTCAGAGTAGTGTAGAATTTACTGACCTAACAACGGTAAGCAAAAGTGAGCCACAGTTAACAGCTGTCATTTACCCTTTATGATGCTGAAAGGATATCCAGAAGAAAACCCAAGAGCAACCCTTCTCACAAGGACAGAGGCTCCCTCCTTCAGCAGAAAGCAAAGCACCCTCATGTGGTCATGCGTATTTATTTATGAGATAAAGAAAAAAAGTTAGTCTCTTATAAAAAAATGTAATCTGTACTTATACTAACCAGATCTGAATCTAAGTGGAAAGCAGTTGATAGATGCCCAGCATTATACTGTTCTGCAGGACGGCAATCCACCACAAAGAACCGGACTCCTTCCTGGAAGGGAAACATTTGACATTCTGGGATTTCACATGAAATTCTTATCATACAATATAATAGTAAAAATTGGGGCTGGAGAGATGGCTCAGAGCTTAAGAGCACTGGCAGCTCTTGCAGAAGACTCGGGTCAAATTCCAACAACTGTCTAACAGCTGTCTATAACTCCAAGGGAATTTGATGCCCTCTTCTGACCTCCATGGGCACTGCATGACATGGGTGCACTTACATGTATGCAGGCAATACACTCATACACATAAAAATAATAAAATATTTTAAAAAACAATATAATAGTAAAAATAAACCAAAAAATGGGAACAAGTTAATTTTATTATTATTACTATTATTTTATTTGTTTATTTATCTTTTTGGTCTTTTTGAGACAGTGTCTCCCCATAGGGAACAAGTTAAATTTTTTGGGGGGAGGGTCTTTTTGAGACAGGGTCTCCCTGTAGCCCCAGCTGTCCTGGAACTCACTATGTAGACCAGGCTGGCCTTGAACTCACAGAGATCTGCCTGCCTCTGCCTCCCATGTGCTGGGATTAAAGGCCACCACGCCCGGCTGGAACAAGTTAATTTTAAAATGAATCTCACTGGATATGGTGGCACATGTCTTTAATCCCAGCACTCAGGAAGTAGAAGCAGGCAGATCTCTGTGATATGGTGGCCAGCCTAGTCTCTACAATGAGTTCCAAGCCAGCTAGAGTTACAGGGAGACCCTGTCTCAAAAATCCAAAAAGATTAAAAAAAAAAAACCCAACTGATCTCACGTAGAATTAGGAGGACCCAATTTATATAGACACAAGAAAAGTAACCTTTAGGATCTAAATACTTTTATTTACTTAACACATGTTTTTTAATATACTGTGCTTGAAAGTTTCAAACTATGTAGCAAGAGTCTTGTCAGTTTGAGCTGTAAAACTAAATATATTGGGGGGCTGGAGAGATGGCTCAGCAGTTAAGAACACTGGTTGTTCTTGCAGAAGACCTGGGTTCAAATCCCAGCACCCACATGGTGGCTACGAACCATCTTTAACTCCAGTTCCAGGGGAATCTGAAGCCCTCTTGTGAACCTCTGTGGCATTGCACAACACGGGTGCAGTCATATACATTCAGGCAATACACTCATACACATAAAATAAAAATAATAAAATA